TATTGCAGGTTGGAGGAGGACGTTGATGGCTCACAAGAGTGAAAGAGGAGGTGAGTGCCCTAGTTTTTCATTTGTTTATGGTATGTTATGGTATGATGATGGACTAAATTAATGTGCAGAAACTTGTGCGAGATAACCCATTTGATCTGCCAATTTTCACAGCTAAGTGATCACACGTATTTGATTCCTTGCATGTGAAATAAACCTTTCAATTTTGAGTAACTATATAGTAACAATTTGTAATTGACCACTGACATTGAACATTGATTATTATCAAAACATTACTAACTATGTGTTGTCGTCTGAAATATTCCAGCCTCAGGCCGCTCCAGATCCAGGAGAGCTGCTTCCACTCAGACGGCTGGTCTGGAGGTTTGGAGACTCAGTTCTGATGATTTAGCTCCTCTGTCTTCTGAGTTTTCTGGTTCTGTGTTCACAGGTCAGGATCACAGGAAGAGGAAGAGGCAGAGCGGCAGCCACCAGAGCCCAGATGGTGGATGTGCGTCCACTTCTATTATAACAATATACTTATAACAAGTGACCACTGACATTGATTATTTATATTATTTAAAAAAAAACAAAAAAAACCCCAGAGTTTTTGATGTTTGAAATATTCCAGTGTCAGGCCGCTCCAGATCCAGTCAGACGGATTCTTCACCGGTCATCATGTCCACATCATCTTGGTCCCTCTCCGAGGACATTGTAGAGAGGCGGAGAGGCGGAGAGTCGAGTCTTAGCAGCAGAGGGACGTACATCGTTGAGTGGAGGCGGAGTGGCGACGGATCGGACGTTCCAAGTGAACAGGACAGTTGTGGCAACTGGAGTTTGTCCAGGTCTGACAGCCTCCGAGATATGATGTGTCCTCCGCTGCCAGGTCAAGTTCCTGTGGAGCCAACAGTGACTTCCAATGGCCTAACAGCTCAGGGTGTCGTGGAGGCGTCTCCTGCGAACAAGAGCTCAACAGGTGAGATTGAAATAAGAGTGGGGGGTGTGAAGTGTACTGATAGAGATTTAGCTATTTCGTGCATAAGACTGCTTCAAGTTTTTAACAGGTTAAGCTCTAGTCATATTTACCGTTGCTCAGCATAATTTAGCTAAAATGTTCTTTTTGAAATTTTTCAAAAATATCTTAGTTGGGCGTTTGTCTAACATATTTTTCAGAACATTCAAAAGTAACGTTTCCATAATGTTTTGCAAAATTATAAAACAGAATGTTCCCTTAACATTTGCATAACCAAGAAAAAAACTTTTTTTTTGAAACATTGAAAAAAAACCCCTGGATGTTAATACTTAATATTGTGAAATAAGACTCTGGGACATTTATGCAGGCATTAAGCAGAAGCAGGGCCATCGCATAATATTTGCATTACTTGGATTTGTAACATTACAGATAAGAATCGAACAGTAAAATGTGTAATTTTGTCATTGTTTAATTTGAGGTCAGAGATGTTTCTAATAGTTGTCTTTTCAATTGTTTTTCTTCATTTCAGAAAAACCTACAGAATATAGGGAGAGGAAAGGAATTTGTAGTTTCCTCAGGAGCGTGTGGAAGGCTCTGAAACATCATTTCGGCTGCTGTTGTCACAGCAGTGCTGTGGATGTTGTGGAGCCTTTCGTCCCTCCACCAGATCTGGACCCAGAGCCTGATCCAGATCACTCAGCCGTCAAGCCAAATAACGGTAAATCCACAGTCATTATTTCTTGATCATTATTTTAAACAGTATTGTCGTCTTGTTTTCTACTAAAAATATCTTAAGGCTTGTTTTCTGAGAATAATAATATTATTCTCCCCATATTAATGTCATAAAAGGTAACTACAGGGGTTAAGGTTAGGTTTAGGTGAAGGTTCGTACCTAGTTTATTACCCAGTTATTGTAATAACTTTAATAAGTACATAGTATGTACATGGGGAACAGGACTGTGAAATAAAGTGCTACCGGTAACACTTTATTTTAAGGTGACGTAGTTACACGTTAGTACATCTACTTACTATAGTAATAACAGTAAATGATGCATACTTACAAGTAACTGACCCTAAACCAAACCCTAACCGTAACTCTATAGTAAGTAGATGTAGTCAATTAATATTACCCAGTACTTATCTGAGTCAGTACAATGTAAGTACGTCACCTTCAAATAAAGTGTAACCTTTTATTATTAATTCAAAGGATTTAGCAAGCTCATATATCTATAATATTGTTTCTGTTTTTCAGAGTCCTTTGCGTCTCTCTTCAAGGTAGGAAAGATGATTGGATCCGGGGGATTTGGCAGGGTGTACGAGGGAAAACGGAAATTTGAGGGCAAAAAGGTAAATATTACCGAACTGTACAAACATTTTTGCAAAACACATTTGAAACAATTTACAGATGGTTTAATACCTAGTGCGAGGTCAGGTGCCCGAATACTGTTACTGTTAATGAAACATTTTTTGTTTTTTTTGCAGGTTGCCATCAAGCAGATCAGCAAGATTGACAACAATTGTTATCTTGATATTGTAAGTTGTTTAAAACCTGAATGTGTATTTAGTTGTTTAAGTGCTGATTACTGTAGACAATACACCTGTAGGAAGCATTAGCTGTACATGTTATAGACAAATAATAAGCCTAGAAGCACCAAATAACGTTGAGCTGAAAAGGCTCTGCATCTACAGAGGTCAAAGAAAAGTACATTAAAAAATGAGATTTGTACCCAGCTAATCTTCTGTCTGCTACTTTTCTCTAGCCTGGGCATCCCGAACCTCTCGTAACAGAAGTGGCGCTGCTGCTAATGATGAGGCAAGAACCCAGAAGCCCCTACGTCATACAGCTGTACGAGTGGTTTGAACACCCTCGAAAATTCACTCTCGTCATGGAGTACCCCGAACCTTGCGAGAGCTTGCTGGACTTCATCATTCGTAACCCTGAACTGAATGAACCAACGGCACGGATCATCATGAGACAGGCTGTGCTGGCGGTACAACACTGCATCGAACATGGCGTTTTTCATAATGACGTTCATGCGGAAAACTTCCTGATGAAGAAAAACACGTTAGAGCTCAAGCTGATAGACTTTGGCTGCGGTCAGCTACTTAGTAGTGACGGCTACGAGAGCAGAATATACCTTGGTGAGCATTTTGGCAGTGTGGAAACCTGAATGTATAGTGACTTACTGATTATTTGACACTTTGAAACGAAAAAAGCTCAACAACGCGCGAATGTCTTGCTTACAGGATTAATGGCTTACCGCCCACCTGAAGTCTTCACAGATACGAGATTCCACGCCGTCCCAACAAATGTCTGGGCTCTAGGAGTGTTGTTATATGAGATGGTGAACGCATGTTCTCCTTTTGGCAATAGAATGGAAATCACACAAGCCAAAGTTACATTTAGGAACTCCAACTTATCCAAAGGTGAGTGAATAATATTGATATCTTTGATAAACGCACACATAAAGCACAGAAACAGTTAAAAGGGTGAAGTACTCTATGTACGATTTCTTTGAACCAGTAAGAGTTGCGTTTGTGATGTTTGAGTTGGGAGAAGGCGTGAAGCATGCAAGGTCTTTTGAAAATATGCTCCTTTTGAGGCAGAAACTGCATACTTCACCTTTAAAGTAAAGATAAAGAACATGTTACCTTACATTAATCATGTTTAGATGCCAAGTCACATGCTCATGACTAACCAGCTCTCTTCTTATTAATATTGGTACAGAATGCAGTGATCTGATTAGTCAGTGCCTTACAAAGGATCCAACTAAACGGCCGACGTTAGAGCAGATGTTACAACATAAATGGATTAGAAAATGATCTTCTTGTAGATTGGAGAAGTTCAGGAGATTCACTCGATCAGTGATTTCAGGTGTGAGGAAGTGTAACAGAGTAGGATTATTATCATTTGTTGTTATCATTTATCTATTTTCAAATTTGTGGAGTGAACAGAGTTCATTTTAATGTTGTTGTCATAGTCTAGTCACCTTCATTTATAGCGCTTTATACAGTACAGATTGTTTCAAAGCAGCTTCATGATATTAAACAGGAAAATAACAGAATCAGTCATGCAAACAGAATTCAGTTCTGCTGTAAAAACATTTATGAGTTGACATGTTCATATAATCTTTGTATTGGATAGGAAATAACATACTTGCTGTCCTTGGTGGAGGGCTTGAGCTCGTGACGTGACCCAAAGCCCGAAATCCAACTTCAACTCGACAGGGAACTCAAGCCGCCACACCAGAGAGCTCAGAGCCTGGCAACACGGGGGATCTTTCGGACAGTAAATCAATCAAGGACAATTTGGGATCCTAAAGTTAAGCCAAGGGGCCTCTTAGGTGGTCATTTGAACACACAAAGTATTGTATAATAAAGCACTTTATTATATCAAAAAGTGATCAAATTCATCATCTTTTACTGGACTCTAATTTAGATTTTCTTTGTTTATCTGAGACATGGCTTCATGTAAACTCCCCGTCAGCAGCATTAGAAGCACCTGCTTTTAAACTGTATAAGAAAGATAGAGTTGGTTCTAAGGGGGGGTGGAGTTATGATCTATGTGAAAACTGGTTTCCAGTCTAATGAAATCGCTTGGTCAAATTGTATGGGTTTGGAATGCATTGGTCTGAATCTTATTCTATCACCACAAAGGTCATTTGTATTAATTGTAATTTATCGTCTTCCCTCTTCAAATAGTAGTTTTTATTGAAATGTGAAACTTTTTTAAAAAAATTTTTTTTTACATTAGTATATCTAGCTAATACAATGGAATAAAGCATTAACTTTAAAAGCAGTCAATGAATTAGACATTTTTTGAACATTACATCTCTTAAACCATCCAGAGCAAAGGATATATTTGGTATGGATGTAGTAATGCTTAAAGAGCTCAGTGAGTCACTAGTTAAAACTATCACCAAAATGATCAACTGTTCACTTGGAAGTCATCATCTGCTGTAGTGCCTATATCTAAAAGTGGAGATTCTCATGCTGTTAGTAATTGCAGACCTATTAGTGTTTTACCAATTGTCTCAAAGGTTGCAGAGAAATGAATGGCTGTGCAAATCACTGATTATCTAAATACTAGTTCATTTCATACTAGTTCATCCAATGCAATTTGGCTTCAGAGCAAACTTCGACTAAAAAGTTAAGTCACAAAGGTGGGTTTTCGGGCGGTGTTTCTTGACCTCACAAAGACTTTTGACACTGTAAACCACAGAAGTCTTATGTCTAAATTATTAGCGACCACTACTCTAAAACCATTGGACTCTCTATATAAAGAATCACAAAAATTCTTGATCATTTTCATCATTGCTCGATACTAAAAAAATTCAATTTGCTAAATTGGGATAATCTGATGTAGATGTTTGTCTTATGTTTAAGACTACATAGCCTGTCTCTCCTGTTAAAACTGTTAACATTAGAACAACTGCACATCGGTCCACAAGGGCTGGAGAAAGAGGGGACTATTATTCCTCTCAGAAAAGTCAATTTAGTCGGTCTGTATTTTCAGTAAAATCCCAGGCAAAGGCAAGCACTGTTTTAGAACTTTTGCCAGATTTAGCCACCGAATTTAAACTTCTTTGTGTCAACGACATTTAGCCTACCTGTCAATTAAGCTAAGTGAGTTCTGCATCTGTTTTCAAGCGCTCTCAGCTTCCTCCAGCGAGGAAAAAGCTTTACCGATGTCTTGCTGGGTTTTTTTGTGTGTGTATTCTTATTTCTTTTAGGACATTTGGCTATGTTTACGGTAGTTGACAGATAATAATTTAATAACTTCTATTGAGCTCTCGGCTTCCGGTTTCGCATATGAACGTGACTGCCCTGAAATGATTGACAGACAGGAAGCCTGTTTTAATTTTAATATATTTTGTGGTGGAAACAAGGTTCCATACTATTAATACCACTTCGACATAAAGGCAATCTCACGGGATGCGGAAAGCACAATCTCTAGGCCTATATAAATATTACGCCACACACGACTCTCTGGAGAAGGGTATTCCTGCACAACCGGAGGCTGCAGTTTCAGGACCCCAGTTCTAGGACCCCAGTTTCAGGACCCTAGTTTTCTGTTTCAGCGCTACCTACCGAACTGGATCACCAAAAAACACTAATTTAACCCCTTTCGCGGCAAAGATCACAGACGGCCCCAGATTATTGTTGTTCAAAATTCATTATTCGTTAAAACATCACACTCTTACTTATTTGATCTGGACAAACTGAGCATCATTAGAAAGATTTAAGACTCCAGCTTCGATAGTTGACCACTGTTATAAAACTGGTTTGCAGTAACATTAGTTTCTTAATTTATGACAGGAGAGCAAAATTGTAAAGTTCATTATTTTGAATAGAAATCATCACTCATAAAGTGTTTCCCCTACCATTGTTTTGGGGGGGCGGCCCGCCGGAATTTCACGGAATATGTAAATTTGAGGAAAAAATAGAAAGCAGTTCAGTACACTTGAAATCAAATCGCGATGTAGACTAGTGTGTGTGAATATTAAAACACAAAGACTATTTAAATCCGAATCCTGCATGTTCTTTGTGAATGAATGGTGCCGCCGACGCGCAGTTTCATTTACCACACACACACACACTGAAGCACGTGTGGCGCTTGCGCTGTTTTTTGGCCTATATGAAGACACAAATGCATGAACTTCCTCTCAGGCTCTAGATCCACTCTGAAAGTCGGGAAAGTCACTTCGTGATCATTTCACCGCTTCATTTGAGAAAAACTATCATCATGGCATAAACACACAGAAACTCAAAAGGTACTTCACGGCAACCCGTCAAAATAAAAGTTCGGTTTAACTTGACAGAAATTTATTACTGTTGTACTGTACATTAGAATTTAGATATGTCCCAATGTAATAATACACTAACACTAATCCAAATAAATTATCATCAAAACTGACATTTTTAAGGAATAATCCATGTTTTAATTTTAACAGTGAAGCTCATTGTGCAGCAAGTTATTTGACAAAAAGTTTATTTAATTTCATATGATTAAAATTGATGATAAATGATACAATTTGTGTTTTATGTCTTCATTTTATTACCAGAAAAAACACAACACAGAATTAGTGTGACATTTTTTTCATATATATATATATAAAAAAAAAGTATTGTTTAATGATTCATAATACGTTATTTCAATTAATTAGACATGCTTTTTGATTGCAAAAAAAAAATTACACCACGTATCAGTAACACGCCCGCTCCCCAACACTAGCAGTTTCCATTTATGGAGTCAGATGAAATAACGAGAAAATACATATGAGAAAATGTATTTCATTTAATCAAATTACTTTGCCACGCGGAAACACAGTAACACGCAGAGACCTTCACGCTTCACCCGCTGATCGAATGCCTCCATTGGATCAATTGAGCCGGGCCTTACACTAGCCGCTCCGAAAATTGCCTACCCTACCTTTAATACCTGACACAGAAGGGACACTGTGACACTCCATAAAAAAAATCTTTTTATTTTTACAGAGTTTTGGTCTAAGGACAGGAAATGATAATCTAGTCATATTTTTTTTAAATAAAAAGAAAATTAATGAAGGTGCATTTGATCAGCTCCTATTCATTTCAAAATGGAAATACTAGACTACTGTATTAATACAATTACTATATTTTACATCTAGTGATCCATAATATGAAAATGTTTGTTTGAAATTATTAGAAGTAGCCTACTGCTGTTTTGTGTTTTCCAGTTACCCCATAGGCTACTAAGTCAATAAAACATGCACAATGCACAGGACTGGTATTTACATTTTATTTACAATATATACATATAATGCATAACATTCATAAAACAACATAGAGTAGGCTAGGCTATAGGCCAGCACATATGGCCTTAAACAATGATTATTCTTATTCCATATTTTATCAATTTATTCAATCACATAAATCCTTTAAATCCTAATTTAAACTAAATATTTTAACTAAATAGGCCTATAGCCTACATTTATATAGGCTATATTATAGATAATCTTATAGAGAGCGACTAAAAAGTGTCTTTCAGTAGGATTTTTATATTTTGGCATGTTTCATTTTTAGTCATTAATAAATAGTTGGATCAGTAATTAATCCTGGTCGCACGGATCTCCTTCATTATCCTCCTCGGAGACGGAGAACCATGTGAATGGTGCTTCTAGATGTGATGTCGTAGTCTTGCAGCCTCTTTCCAGCCTCCAGTTGTTTACCGTTGTAAACCAGTCGATACTGATCCTTGGGGACACTCTCTTTGCGGGAGATCTTAGTCTGGAGCTGATCTACGGTCTCATTGGCATCAACATCATAGGTTTTGGGCTGGCCCTCATCGTTCTTGACGAACACTTGGAAAGGTCCAGGGTTCGTGATGAGCAGCATCACCACTGAGCCTGAGTGCAACCCGTAACTGCTGAGGCTTCTGGAATCATCATCAAGGTTGATACGGTGACCGTTGTCGATAGAAAGCTTCTGTTTGTGACGAGGTTCACTGAAGTGTTGAGAAATGAGCTGCTTGAGTTCACCAACTGTGGCATCACCGCTCACTACCAGCCGGTTTACATCTCCGTTCAACAGTTTTACTGTCAGTTGAAGTTCCATTGTCTGTCACGAAGAGATTAATATAAAAGCATTAGAACTACTACAACATCATCATATACTTAAAAAAAAAAAAAAAAAAAAAAAAATTAGCGTAAAAATTAAACAGCAATAGGCTATTTGTAGGCAATATACCACTTACCGAGCTGGGTTGTGCAAGGCTGCTACGGCTTTGGCTGAATTGCTTTCTTGAATAAGTCTGTAAGTCACAACGAAATCAAACAATGTGTCTCTGGTCACATTGAGCCGACGCTTGAATATTTATACAAAGCATCAACTCATGCTCCGCCTTGTTTCGTTTCCGAAAACTTACTCAGTCACTTTCTGTTTCCATTCTCTGCCTAATTGCTGATTAAAGTCCCGAGAAATCATTGATCAACACGATGTTCAGCGCAAATAAACAATAGCTATAGCATAGGCTATAAAAAACACATTCTTATTCCGAAAAATGATTAACCTAAAAAAGTCGCGTTTGCTTTAACCAACATTATTTGGGTCCTAAGAAGTTTCTGGAAAGGTTAGGTTTATAGTTATAAAAAAATAAAAATAAAAAAAACATTAGCCTAGACAACGTTGTTGGCTATAGCATATTGGTTCTTTTCAGGTTATAACAAAACTACATGCAACCTCAGCATTAGACCTATGAAAACTCAGGAACGTTCTGTGTTTGCTGCATGGGTATAGTTTAATGTGATCTACATTAACAAGCGCATTGTTTTTCAACATAGGTTTTTCATAAGCCTAAAAAAATATTATAAAAATAAAATAAAGACTGTCGTCTACTTGAGTTTCATTTAGACATAACAGGACAACAGATCATTGGAATGATAAAGGCATTCCACATGATCACATGATTGGGGGAAATCCAGGTAAGTGGAGCACGTCATACAGCATGCGAAACACCTGGTGCACAATAGGCCCAGGTGACAATCTTGTTTACAGTATGTGCATAACAGTCTATTTATAGTGCAGTTTTGTGTTTATTTCCTGGGATAAGCTTTTCTCTAAATGCTTTTGATGTCAAAACAGCTACATGACAAAACAAAAGTGTTAAAGTTTATTTATAAATTATTTTGGTTGGATTATTCCATTTGTAGAGGTTTGACATTGAAATTTCCATGATTTTAGAAGTGTTTTCATTAAAGGCAGTGTAGCCAGTTTGTTCCAGATTTTTTTTTTTATGCTGGTTGAAGTCTCTTCACATCCTGATAGCAATCGCTAAGTTAAGTGGTCTAAATGTATATCGTCTGTGAACGGTGTAGGATCATAAAATGTTCGTCCAGTCATTGCAGTCTGAACCTGCCTGTAAACGTATGTATTTTCATAACACACACCCTGTGCAGACATCACACGTCATCAGCGCATTTCATGCAAAGCAGAGTTAGACAGACGTCAGTCAGAGGGCCGTAAACAAACAGCAGCCACCTTTTACAGTTCCTTCTGCACCAAAACAATGAGCTTATGCTGCATTCTCGCCATTAATACTGTAATTTGGAAGAGATGGAAACCCATGACGCGTGTCAATGGCAACACTATCAATGTCGTAATGAATCTGCAGCAGTCAAGTGATACAGGTCAGTGCTCTTTAAGTGGTTCATGTTCATTATTACTCTAATGTTATGTGCTTTAAAAGAAAATTATTTGCAATGCTGTTTTTCTTACATTTATGCAAATAGGTTTAACTCTATATGAAGTGTTGAGTTATGGTCTGAGGACAGAGATGGGAAGCAAGTGATAATCTAGTCATAATTTTGATCAAATAAAAAGAAAATGAATGTACATTTGTGATCAGCTCCTATTCATTTTCAAAATGGAAATACATAGACTACAGTATTAATACAATAGCCTATATTTTACATCAGTGATCCATAATATGAAACTGATTAGTAGTACTGCTGTTTTGTATATAAATAAAAGTCAAGTCACCTTTATTTATATAGCGCTTTTTACAATACAGTTTCAAAGCAGCTTCACAGTGATAACAGGAAAATAATGCAATAAAAGTCGATATCGTAAGTTGATAAAACATGAACACTGCACAGGACTGGTATTTAACATTTTATTTACAACATAAAAATATAATGCATTATACCATGGTCTGGGTGAATACTCGATTCTGATTGGCTGCAGGGTGTCCGTTAAAAAGTGATAGAGGACACCTAGTAAAGGAGTTCTGGTGAAACTGCCTGTTTACCGTTCGAAATTAATAAATAAATGCGCTGCCTACAACAGCTGTGAGTAACCATAGCAACAGGCAGTCAACGTATCCGTTGACAATTTGCTCTATCAAAACAAACATCTAACGTTAGTTAGATATTACATAGCCTACTAATACAACAATGAGCGACTTCGTTATTTCATCTTCAGTCTCTCACGGACTGACGGAGCCCAGTAAGCCCGCAGACTGACTGCTCTCGCATCGATGACCTGTCACCGACATTTTTTTGACGGCTCTCCAGTCCAGCATCGGAGAGTCGACCTACAGCGGTGCTTCGGAGGCTGTGGTTAGTGTAGACTAGTGTAACACATAGTATTTTATGTGTAATAAAAAAATAACTATGCCTACCTTTGTGTTTCATGAAAAAAAAAAAAGCATTTTTGAACCTGAAGGCGGGTTCTACAAGCTGAGCGGACTATATATCTCAAGTTGCTAAATAAATCGTCAGGCAAGTTATTATTTGAAAAAACTAGATTTAGCCTAATTAAAATATAAACTAATGTTTTAAAAATGTTTTATTTGGCAAGTGACCATGGTATAAGCGGGTTAATGCCCTTCGAGGTGTCCGTTGTAAGGTTTTAATGGACGACGGCGAGGTGTAAACCGGCCGACGCGCAGCACACCTCGTCGGGCATTAACCCTTACTTAACATTCATAACAACAAAGTTAAGGCCAGCACATTTGACCTTAAACTGGAACAGTATGATAAAGGATTATTCTTATTCCACATTTTACCAATTTATTCAATTACATAAATAAATTAAATCACAATTTAAACTAAATATTCTAATATCAGACATGTTAGGCATTAGTACATTTTATAGGCTGTAGATAATCTTATCTAGAGAGTGACTAAAAAGTGTCTTTCAGTAAGACTTCTATGTTTTGGCAGTCTTTAATCATTAATAAATAGTTGGATCAGTAATGAATCCTGGTCATGCGGATCTCCTTCATTAACCTCCTCGGAGACGGAGAGTCATGTAAATAGTGCTTCCAGATGTGATGTCATAGTCTTGCAGCCTCTTTCCAGCCTCCAGTTGTTTACCGTTGTAAATCAGTCTCTGCTGATCAATGGGGACACTCTCTTTGCGGAAGATCTTATTCTGGAGCTGATCTACGGTCTCATTGACATCAACTTCATACTTATGAATCTGGCCCTTCTCGTTCTTGACGAACACCTCATCAGGTGTGATGAGCAGCATCACCACTGTGTCTGAGTGCAACCCGTAACTGCTGAGGCTTCTGGAATCATCATCAAGGTAGATACGGTGACCGTTATTTATAGAAAGCTTCTGTTTGTCAGGAGGTTCATTGAAGTCTTTAGAAATGAGTTCCTTGAGTTCACCAACTGTGGCATCACCGCTCACCTTCAGCGGCTTCAAGTTCACATCTCCGTTCATCAGTTTTACTGTCAGTTCCATTGTCTGTCAGGAAGAGATGAAATATAAAAACATTAGAACTACTACAACATCATACACTTATTTAAACCAGGAGATTAGCGTTATTATGAATGTGCAATATTTTCATAAATAAGCTATGCAACTTACCGAGCTGGGTTGTGCAAATAGGTTGTTGAATAAGGCTTTTCGCTGAATAGTCAGGTAAATTACACCGGATAATGTGTCTCTGGTCAGTGAGCAGAGGCATGCCATGAATATATATTATCAACTCAAGCCCCGCCTCAAAGTAATGTTTCGTTTCTGAAAACTTAATCAGTCCCTTTCTGTTTCCATTCTCAACTAATCACTGACGTATCGACAGGACGTTCAGCGCAGCTTTCTGAATAATCAACAATAGCTACATTCTTGTTCAGTGACATCAAAAGTAAATCAAATAGATGTAGAAATTCTTTTATACCTGGTGCAATTAGGTTTTTAAATGATTTATTGTAATTTGTGTTGTGTTGTTATATGTGTATACTGCTGTCTACACAAAGAATTGCCTTTGAGGACAATAAAGTTAAAAAGTTAAATCAAATGCTGAAACTTTCATTACATACTTTTCATAATATATATACCTAAAAAAAGTACCTTTGTCATTTATATAGGCTCTAGAGTAGACAGACATTAAAAGTAGCTCAACATCAGGGATCTTTGGAATGACGGAATTCCCCACAATCACGTGATGTAAAGGCAGATAAGGCAAACCAAACTCAACATTCTCTGTTCTGTCTAATAGTTTTATTGCATTGACATTGTTGTTAATCAAATTATGATTATTTGATAATATCTGTAATATGTCCTTCTTGTTGGTTCCTTGGTTTATTTAAATAATTTCTATTTGTGTTCGTATTGTGTTTTGTTCTATCTCTATAAAGGGAATGTTAATAATTTCCATAAAACTAGTTTGGAACATTACCACACTCCAGATACAGCACAATTGATATACTAAATAAATATTTATTATAACGCAAAGTCAGAGCCAGTGTTACATTTCAGTCAGAATTCAGAGTGTTTAAGCATAGCAGATCTCTCTTCTCTCTTTGGTAGTGGGATGTTTCCTACAATAAACAACAAAGATTTATTATTTATGAGAAGTACACAGAATCAGTTACTTAGAATTTCTTTTTTTTCTTTTTCTTTTTCTTGTTACAAAGCAATAAAGTTAACCAAGACACCTTTGTTCTAATCAGATGGACACAGACACAGTGAATCAAAGCTCAGGATTATAAAAGTTTTTTCCATATCTGGTTAATACATTAAATTATACAAAACTAAATACTAAATGTTAGAATAGCTTGTCTTTTTTTTTTTTTTTTTTACCTGGAGGTGCAACAAAGTACTCCTCTACTGTGTTTTTGGCCAGCTGGAGGAGCTCCTCAGCACATTCACCCTCCGTTACAGTATCTGCTCTCAAACACAAGTCTCTGTACACAACATGAAGTACAAAGGAAAAGTTTAGCTTCTATAAAATGGTGACATGTTGACACTGTACTATGAGCAAACATACTTGGAGTGGTTGGGCAGATCAGGGCTGAGTAACCATAATTTTGCATTGAAATATTGAACAATATTATCAGAAAACCAATGAAAACACCATAAAAAAAGGACTTGTGTTATTTCACCCGTCAAAACTGACTGGAAGTCGTATCGGGAACAACTAGTAAACTGTTATGAATTGATCTGAGCTTCTTGAATACCTGTCCTCTAGAACTGAATCCATTGGATCTACACCATCAGTATTGATGACATGAAGTTGATCAGCAAATCGAATGGCTTTCTCCAGACAGTCCACCCCTTCTTTACTGTCGAAGTCAACAAGGGCTAATCTCTCCAACTTGTCCACTAGGTCTGGTGAGACTCTTGTTGCCTGCAAAGAAAAGTTAAACATGGTTACTTATATTAGGAAAAATAAACTATATTCTCAGTAAAATTAAGAAAATACTTCAAATGCAATGGATTATTTTTATTACTAATAAGGCAAATTTGGGATACTGTAAATGCTCTCATAATTAAGAAATAATATTCTTACTATATTAATACGTTTTTGTTTTGCCTATTTCGGCTAAGTACATTTACCATTTAATATATCATAAGAACTGAACATTTTTCATTTTTAGCCATATGTTACAGATCATATATGTGAAATATTGTAATGTACCTGATCAACCACAGGTTTTAGACCCAGGCCTGGTTTCACAGACAGGGCTTAGTTTAAGCCAGGATTAGGCCTTCGATCAATTAGGACATTTAAGTTACTGATGTGCATCTTGAGACAAAACAATGGCACTGACATATTCTAAGATATGTCAGTACAAATTGCTTTCAGTAAAAACAGCTCAAACATTCATTTTAGTCTGCTGGGACTATCTTAAGTCTTGTCTGTGAAACTGGGGGCCAATGTACTGGTTTGATCATATGATTATTATTTCATTGTTACAACATGTAACATACAACATATTACTAGGTACTGAGAACAATAACAATAATATAAGATCAATGACAATAATAATCTCTTTTTTTTCCTGTATAAAAACTATGGTTTAGATATGACGTTGAGTGCTGCTCAGATTCTGAACTGGTATTCTGCTGCCCTCTACTGTGAAGTTCAAGAAACGTTGTACAGAATACGTCAAAGTATGACAATGCTACATTTTTGCTTAGTTTGTAGGAGAAATATTTGGTCATGTGGCAAAAATTGACGGGGTTGCACATCTTACCACACTGCCCTCTAGCCTAATGTGTAACTTACAGAAAAACACACAAGTTGCAGAATAAAACGTGTGTGCAAAAAGAGGCATTACGGGTGGAAGTTGATTTTCATCTATGGGCTCCCATGAGGGTATCTGAGGAACCTGAAGATTAGAACAGGGTGCGAAATGTTTATAAGCATTGCATAAGTTACTATGTTCAAATTAGCAAATATTTGTTAACGTATCGATGGGTTCATTTATATATTAAACATTTATTCATCCTAACACAACGGTCTACAAATGAATCACATTTTACCTTGGAATCACTGGCAGAGTTACTTGATTCCCGTTTTAATGTCAATCGGGACCGGGACGGTCTGCTGGCCGATACAGTGGCACTTAGAGCGGACAGCTTCAATGCTCCACACCGAGGATGCGCAGGCCGCAGCGCGCTTGAAGCTCGTGCCGCACATTTACAGAACATGTTTAAATCACGTTCCTAAAACTGTCACGTTGCTATGTGAAGTCCGTTAAAACGCGATTATATGTATGTTTGTATTGCTAAGGAACCCTAACTACAGACATCCTCCCCCTAAAAAAAAAATCAACTACATTTCCGGAGGTTGTCGTTTTCGAAGTCCATGACGTATGTTTTGAGAGGAAATGTGTTTTCACGTCTGTAAGAGCCCGGATAGCTCAGTCGGTAGAGCATCAGACTTTTAATCTGAGGGTCCAGGGTTCAAGTCCCTGTTCGGGCGAATGATTTTTAATTTTGCCATTTCAAAAAAAGCAAGAACACACAGTTCAAGGGTAAAGATGTTTATGAATGGATGACCAATATATTGTATTATATTTGTCGAGAATTATGGGAGCTTGTTTCCACCACTGAAAAAATAAATCACGCAATTTTCAGACTTTTTTCCCCTCGCAATTTCTAGTTTATGTCTGGCAATTCTGACTTTATCGCAATTGTAAGAAAAAGTCAGAATTGTGTGATAAAAAGTAGCATTTATCTTTTAAATAGTTTTATTCCGTGGTCATAATCATAATTATAAACGTTTGTTCATTTAAAAAACAGATTATAGGCACACATAATAAATCTATATTTTTTATATTAAAATAAATCAAATTCTAATAACAATTTTATTAACAAAAAATATCACACACATACGTCATTATCTTTGTGGGGACTCTCCATAGACGTAATGGTTTTTATTCTGTACCAACTGTATATTCTATACCCTTACACTAACCCTACCACCAAAACCTACCAAACACAGAAAAATTTCAGCATTTTTACATTTTCAAATGTATGATTTATAAGCTGACACAAGTCCCCATGAGTCGGTGTGCATTCAGGTTGAAGTCCCCACCGGGGTAGATCAACATGTACACATACACAAACACACACTACAGAAGCAGAAATATGACGATTAGATTTGTTGGAAAAATAAGAACAATTCCATTTTATTTTATTTTTTAAACAAGAACATTTACCATTTAATATATATATTTAGAATGTAACACTTTGTAGTAATTGACCACAGTGTAGCAAGAACATTCACATAAAAAAACAGACAAAATGCATACATTCAGATTTAAATCAATGTATAACAACAAATTATATATTACATTTTACTCCTTTTAGAATATATTTTGCACATGAAGAAATCAACAAGATGCAATGCAGGACAATGATTAACACCTGCTCATATTAGATCACAAATTATGTAGAGTAGATGCTAATTCATAGTGTTCAGGTAGTCTGAAATACACTTTTGATTCTGATTTGCTTCTTGCCTAAATAGTCATTTTTAGCGTTACGTTACAGATCATATATGTAAAAAATAGCCTATATACTTATGATTTGATACACATTCTGATTGCACCTCATTGTGGATATACCCGATTAACCACAGCTTTCAGACCCGTAGCTGTACTGGTTTGATCACAGAATCAATACTTCATTGTGTTTACAAGATTTTATAACTATAAAGATAAGATAAGTTAAGCTGTATAAGAAAAGCTATAACAGAGGATAGTGTGTTTGGAGGAGGATGAAGAAGCAACAATGTACATTTTATAACAATCAATTCCAAAAATGAAAAAATAAATAAGAGCACTGATGATATTAATTTCTTTGTGTGGATATTAGTGTCCATTCTGAAAACCATGTAGCCAACGACAGCAAAGTTAATAATATAGATTCTCTCTATATAATAAATATAGCATGTATTTGTCTGTACAGTCCACAAATAACAAGAATACATTAAGCAGACAAGGCCTTGTGGTAGTGATTGTGAGTTGTCCTGGTCCACACACACACACACACAAAATGGAAGCCCATTTTTGCCATGTAAGAAAAAAAAAATGCTTTTGAAAATCACAATTATGACAAAGTAATGAAATAGCTTGTTTTCATATGACGTCACGCCACTGCGTTGCCATGGCGCGAAATGCAAATGGAGGGCAGGAAGTGATTTGCTGTATTTAGAAAGCACTATAACAAACTCAAAATGCCTATGTTTTGCGTCGTTTATGGTTACTTAAATCGATCAAACCACGAGGAGTTTTTATCGTGTACCAAAAGTTGTTGTTCATAAAGGGGGAAAATGCAAGAAATTGACCGAAAAACTCCGGAAAAACGGCTTGCAAACCTACGTCTGCGGTCGGGAGGAGCCGAATGGGAAAATGCCCGTTTGTGCAGTGATCACTTCGTCAATGGTGAGTTAATACAACTTAAGTGGCTATGTTTGTGTAACGTGTAACATTTACGAACTTTGTAAAGTCAAAGTATGTCTGTAAGACGAGGTAGTTGCTGATATCTACCGCCTCGATGGCAGGAAAATCTTTCAATTCAGTTGAAAATCGCTCCTCTTCATAACGTAAGGATCACGTCCAACATATGTTTGATTTTTTGTTTATATCTTTCTCTTGTAATAGCGTGTAAAGTAGTACAGTACGGACTTTCCTCCATCTCGTCCATTGCGCTCTTCACTCCCCTGCCCTCCATCTGAATTTCGCGCGTCATCATAATCACGTGACTGAAACCCAGCTATTGACAAACTAAATTGAGATTATGAGGCGGAAAGTCTTAATTATGATGTTGAATCACATAATTATGACTATGTAATAACTGACTTTTAAAGTCATAAGTATGATTTACTAAAGCACGATTTGTTTTTTCTTAGGTGGTGGAAATGGGCTTCCACAGACAAACATCAAATCTGAAAAATAAATCCTAATGTCAGGTTTTCATAAGGTGACTGACACCAACGCACTGAAACACAAGACTGACTCAAACATTACATAAACCGAATGAAAAACACAAATCATTGACCAGTTCCATAACACAAAGAGAAGGAATACACTAACTATTAACGGACATGTTTTTTTTGTTTTGTTTCTGTACTAAATCTAATACCTAGAGGCATTCCTTGGTATTGTCCAATAATATACTGTGTGACACAACAACCTGATCTGATTTAGTGAAACAACTCACAGTAAAGACACTGACTTGGAAATAAGCAGGTTACAGAAACGCATGCGAAAGGTCAGCCGACTGAAAGCACAGCGCCCCCTACTGCTACATTTGTACACAGGAAAATCTGGAAAACCTATTAAAAGTGGCACATCAGAATACAGAACAATAATTAAGTGTGCAGGTCATACAGGAGCATTAAGAGGGCGGTCACGCTGGATTTTAAGCATGCGGAATGATCCTGAATTATTTCAGATGCCACAACAAATATCTGAATATATCATTCTTATAGAAGACCCATTTTAATAAATAATAAATAACATTTAAATATACTATCTACTCTATAAATATCTATTACAGTTTCCCACGGCATTACAAACAAAGCAGCTTATCTTTTTCATTTCAGCGAAGGATGAATTTTTATGAATGTACACTACCGTTCAATTTTTTATAAAAGAAATGAAATGAAAACTGATCAAATGTGACAGAAATCTTTTGTAACTTTTTAAACGTCTTTACTATTTCAAATAAATGCTGTTCTTTTGAACTTTCTGTTCATTAAAAAGAATCCTAAAAAAAAACACGTTTTACACAAAAATATTAAGCAAAATCTGCATATTAGAATCATTTCTGAAGGATCATGTGACACTGAAGATTGGAATCATGGCTACTAAAAAAAATCAGCTTTGAATCACAGGATTAAATTACATTTTAAAATATATTTAAATAGAAAACAAGTATTTTGTTTCACAATATTACAGTTTCTACTGTATTTTTTATCAAATAAATGCAGCTTTGGTATAAGCATGAGTCTTCTTAAAAAAAAAAAAAAATTATTCAGAGAGACCCCAAACCTTTGAACGACAGTTTGTGTGCATCCGCTTTGTCACTTTCACATGCGCAAAAAAGGAAGTGAATGGATCACGGCATCTAGTGTGACCGCCCTCTTATCAGTAAAATGCACCCAACCTGAACTTCTATTGCTCCGTTTCAAAACCTAGTGAGCTGCCTACTTAGGCAGCATTTTAAGGCATCGTAAGCACATCTCTGCAACATTATGCTGCCTTCTAAGATACGTTCTTTTGGTCAAATTCTAAGGCAGCATCGCATGCATGGAGAAGGCAATCCCAGAATGCACTGCAACAATACAGTAAAAAGAAAACGGTGGACAATACATGTGGACAATTATAAATACTTATTTCCACTTAAAAGTATCAATAAAAAGTAAAATTTGATTAAAACTGACTATTTTACCCAGTATTTTTGTGCGCTATGTGTAGTTAGCTTAGCATCATACAACACCAAATTCTATTGGAATCAAGTCACTTATGAGATTCAATTTCAGTTTATGTAGGCAGTAGACAGCAAGGCAGCACACTAGGTTGTGGAATAGAGCTCACGAGTCACCAGTGACTGGTAATCCTGTCTGCATTGTAGACATGAGAAAAAATTCATATGTCATACAGTGAATGACCACTCATTAGCAGCATCTACTTATGAAATTTGATGTATTATGATGTTCAGTAAAACCTGATTAAAGAGCCAGATGACTCCAATTAAAAAATTGCACACTGACTGATTTCAGGTAGATCAAGATGTTTGGCATTAGAAATGTTATGCTAAACTTGAAGCTCATTAAGCTTTGGCCGAATGTTCCCTGTTGTTTAGTAGCAAGGGCTGATGGGATACATTGTGAACATGAGATGGTTTCCACGAGAGGTTTCAGAATTACTTGTTTTCTATAAGTGTCTGCACTTTGCACACCAGGTCTCTAGCTAGAGTCAGAATCTGCTTGATATTGTGGTGCTCAGCCATTTCTGAAAAAAAGAGACAATATTAAGGGATATGAGGTTGCAATAATTCAAATTATTTTATAACATCTATATTATTCAGTTTGTTACATGTGCATGTAGCCTGACCGGTTACTCTTTTCTTTTGTAATGATTTGTCTGCCCTCTAGGGGTCAGAAATGTTTGTTACCTGTGCCTGTGTCTTATTATGAGCAATTCCCTACACCTGTGGACCGTACCAGCGTGGATATAAGGAGCCTCGTTGCTACATCTGGGCGGCGGGATATTTGCGACGGTCCAGCTGCGCTCCCCTTCGTCTTTTTCCGTTTTCCTGATTCATTTTCTCCCACATTTCCCCTAATGGGCTGAGCCTTTTGTGTTGACCCTCTCTTATCTTATGGCTGTGACCCTAACACAGTTGCCTATTCAACTAAATCATTTAGATGTCATAAAATAATCAAACAAATAATCATTATGCAATTTCTCCAATTGTGGGTATATCCAAAAATAGCTAAATATAAATAAATTACTTAATACTTAAATTACTATATATATATATATATATATATATATATATATATATATATATATATATATATATATATATATATATATGTATGTATATATGTGTGTATATATATATATATACATACACACACACACATATACGTATATATACACACACACATATATATATATATATATATATATATATACACACATTCACATATATATATATATATAAAATGAATACATATTTACCATTGAAAAACTTGATGATGTCTGTGAAGTCCATATTGTTCTCTAGAATGATGTCTCTGTAGATCTCCACCAATGCAAGAGCAATGAAGAGCACAAAATGGCTGGAGGAAACACACTTAGCAGCCCAGATGGCCTCCCAAACAGCAAACACATCATCATACACCAACTCTGAGGATTTGAAATACATATGTTATGCAGTACCTGTAGAATGTAATAGGCATATTATTAATGTTTCAGTATACCGGTAACTTAAACAGTCTCCATGGACAGCAGAGGGAGCTGTCATTTTTGAATTGGTTTTGAAGCTTAGCCCTGGGCAGAATCTAATATTCTAGTTTTTAATGTAACTGGGGTTTAATACAATTAAATGTTTCTTACATAAAGCACATGGTAATGTGAGTAGAGCCTTGTGCCTAGTAATTTAAAACATATAACATTAATATTAGGCTGAGTCACAGTCAACAAGATGGCATTGCAATTGCTAATTAGGAGCAAAAAAAATGGCTTAATCTCACTGCAGATGATAACTAATAGAAGAGATTTCGACTTTTACTTTTATATTCAGTGTATGCAAGTTTTCAAAAGACGTTTCTTTTCTCTTTTATGTGAGAGACATCATTACCTCTTTTGAAGTCAAGAAGAAACCAGCGATAGCAGAAGTAGAAGTGGGTGTAATCTCCATTCTGATGCATTAGCTCAAACAGCTCTGCGTCTAGAATCTAATTACACACAGTGAGGATAAGAGCAAAAAAAATGAAAACAACAAAAATCACATCCACATTTTACATTTAAAAGGCATGTTGTTGAACAAACGGGTCTATAGCAGACGTTTGACCTGGATCAGAGATCTCATGTTGGCAAAGTGGGTGTCCATCGCACCTCCATGAGGAAAATTTTGATTCATCCTTTTCATTAGCTCGGTGAAACAACTGAAAGCCATGGCCTCTGAAAGATTCAGAGAAAACGGATATGAGAAAAGCTAAACACTTGTTAGTCATTTGTTCTTTTTAACCAGTGGCATGCACTCAAAAACACGTCGATAACAAGGAGCAGGTTTCACAAAGACAGACTCACCATCATCTAGAATAACTAGCAAGGGAGCGAGCAGGTCACACATGCCCTGGACATATCCGATTTCAAGGTGCTGCCAGATATAACTGAAGAAACAGTCAATACAGGGATATTTGAGCTACATCACAACACCAGATGTTCTGAGTGCTTTGCCATGCAGTTGCTGAGGTCTTTTGGGAGGTTACTAGGGTGTTCCTATATGGTTTCTAGGCTCTCTAGGTGGCTGCTCAATGGCCAAAGTCAAACAGCCCATCTTTAAGCGTCTATAATATTCTGGCCCCTAGATATGACTTAATGTAAGTCTGTGTGTTTTTACATGGCATTTTTTTACCATTTTTACCGTCCGATTACAAAAAAGAAGCGCTGGTATAAAAAATCTGGCCAATATGATAAACTAAAATGTGATTCTTTTCAGAAGTACTATTTTATCTACATTAAAAATATGTGAACTACAAGTGAATATGATATTCAGTACGAAAATGGATATTCATTTTGAGAAAAGCTAAGAATTACATTTAATTATTTATTAAATTATTAATGTTATTAAATATGAACCTAAATTGAGCATTAGGTGACTGCAAAGGCAATCTAATTTTTAAAAATAGTGGAAATTAGCATGTACAATTAAATATGCACCATCGGCCAACATATACACTAACCCTCAAGACTGAGGTCAGTAAGATTTTTTGTTTTTGAAAAAAAAAAATCTATACTTTTATTCAACAAGGATGCATTAAATTGATCATTTTTGTATATTTTGTTCTTTTGAACTTTCTATTCATAAAAGATTCATGAAAAAGATTATCAGCAAATCAGCATATTACGCCCGTTTCACACATGATCCGTTTGTAGTACATATGCAGTCTGTAATATGCGGTACATGTTTTTTTTTCAGTGCCCATGTTAACAGGTTAGAGCATTCACACTGCACACAGATGCAGTCTGGCAAGAATCACAAGGATAAATTACATCTTAAAATATGTTTAAAACAGTCATTTTAATTTGTAATATTTCACAATATTACTATATTTTTGATCAAATCCTTGGTGAGTAAGAAGAGACTTCTTTCAAAAGCATTAATAACTCTTACTGACCCCAAACTTTTGAACAGTAGCATATTCTATATTGAATGATATTAATCAACTGAAGAAAAAAAAAACCTCTAATATTGGCCAACAACTATTACTGTACTGATATATTGTGCATCACTTTTTTAGAAAAGTAATAGCAGACACATGATTTGAGGTATCATTCATGTCCAGAGCACAAGCAGTGAAGGCCAATGAAGGAATGATTTTGTTACCTGCACATGATGTTGCGCAGTTTCTCCAAGTTAGCAGGTGTGAAGAACCAGTAATTTCGGTCACAGCGCTGAACGTCTTTATCTATGCGATGCAGATTTAAAGTGTACATGTCCAAAAGCTCTTGCTGCAATTACAAAGGTGAACTGATTTAGATCATGAGTGTCTCAATTCACCTTACAAGATATAAAAACTCTCTAAAACATGCTTACAGAATAAGTGGTCCCTATAGAAGACACTGGAGAGGCAGCTTCATTCTTCTCAGTGTTCACAGCCAGTGAATCAAGCTGTGGGCAGAGACTCTCCATCTCTGGCTCTTCAGAGTCCTTTCCTTCAGAGCTGGGCTTTCCATGAGCTTCTTCCAGCCTGAGCTCTAATACAGGTACAGATGCCTGCTCACTTATCTTGCTTTTGGGTGAACTCTTCCTTTCCCAAACCAATGACACTTTAGCTATAGGAATTTCTTCCATTTCAATGGCAGAGGGAGACTCGTCTGACTCCGTTTCATCTTGGGCCTCGCTCATCTTTCTTGTACTAAAAGCTTCATGCACCAACGGCACCACCATCTCTTCAACTACTGGAGCATTCCTCTGCATTTCTTTATGCATGGTCTTCTTTGTGGCAACCTTCCCTTCTGTTTGCTCTGCGCCAATGGTTATTGGGAGATCTGAAGCTGCTTTCCTCTTTCCTGTTGTTTCAGCTTCATTGGGTAAATCTTTGGTCTTCATAGTCTTCTTTTCGTTCTTATTATCTGATCTTAACACTCTTTGTGTGGCACTTACATTGTTGGTGTCATCCATCCATGTCTCAGAATCTTTATCTTTGCTTGTTTCATTGGTTTTCACTGTTTCTTTCTCTGTACCATCGTCCTTTGAAACAGACACCACCATGTCAGCGCCAATCCTCTGCTCAAGTGCATCTGATTCCTTATGATCTTTTGTTACCAAAGGTTCCTTTCGAATTACTCTAATATCTTTAATTCCCACTTGGGACCTTTCAATGTCCACTCTTACCTGATTCTCGTTCATCTTTGGCTCTGGAGGAGTCGATTCCATGACCTCTGTTGCTTTGGGAATATCTGGCTCAGTTCGCAGTGTCAGTGCTTCATTTTCCGATGTCAAAGTTTTCTCTGGACATTCAACCACTTCCATTTTGGTCATGTGGCTGTGAGCTGCTTCAGGAGTCTCAAATGCATCTCGAGCTGTTTTTAACCCCTCTGTCTTAACCTCTGCCCTTTCATCAGAGCTCTCCGTGGCCTTCTTGCTTCCCTCTGATATTGTCACCACTGCACCCAAAGACACTCTGTTAACCTCAATTTTGTTATCTTCACACTGTTTCTCCACCTCTTTGGTCTCACCTTCCTCCGTCAGCTTTCCTTCCTCTCCAGATGAATTCGCAACTCTTTCCTTTGATACTACTAGGTGTGGTTGGGCCTTGAGGTTTGGCTCATGTATCCCACTGTCCTCTGTACTCAAGGAGTCCGACTGACCAGAAGTAACAGAGAAATTTCTGGAAGAGGGGTGACCAGAGTCTGGAGAACTGGTGCCAATTTGTGGTGTTCCATTTGAGATTTTGGAAAGATGTTTGACGTCGTCACTCTTGAGCTCAGACTCAATCTGGTCGACCTCTTCAATGGATTCAAACACCTGGAAAAACAAACCAAAGGAAAGTAGGCTACTCCGGAGGAAGGGGTTTTGGGAAGTGAAGAACTTCCAGGAAAGAGTGTGACGGTGATGAAGATCAGTCAGGTCGGGCACCATTTGTACTCACATTTTTTTGGAAAATGTCAATTTATTTAACTTTTCATGGACTGGTAGCAACATGAGGTTTACCTGAGTGCTGCTGCTGGAGTCACTCTGCAGCCTGGAATCTCTTTGCCTGCCTGAACTACAGCTCTGCGAGGACTGAAAGACAAACACAACACATCCTTAAGTAAATATTGCATCAAATCAAAAGTGTGGACAAAAAAAAGTCTTCAATGCCTGCCAAAGAAGCATTTAGGTCTCAGAAAGTCTTGTGCTTTATGGATCTGCACTCACCTCATTGCTGATGGTGGAGTCACGGTGCATTATTCTCTGCGTGGTGCTGTCCATACTCGTCCCAGACGAACACTTGGCTAATGCCACTGCATGCTGTTCTTTCTCTCTCTGCCTAACGATGGCCTCACACCCCAGCCATTCGCTCATGTTCTGTTCGTAGCACGCTCGCATCTGCTCATCCACCTAAAGATTCCAGAGTTTCAAAGATGGCAAATATGAGATGATCTTAAAACGAAAGCCCCTCGATAACAATGGAACAAGAGCTTTAATTCACAAACCATCTGAAATCCAATTAACCTAGGTTTGGAAAGAAGCTGACTAAAAAAAATAAATGCTTGTCACTTTTGTCTTAAGAAAAGCAACTGGGGGATGCCATGTTTCCCATATTCAAGGACATTCGCTGGAAATCTTACAGAGAACAGAGACTAAATTTGCATTCACAATAGCATAATTTAGCAAAAGTTTGCTGCCAAAAAAAGGTCCACAGCCAATAGCATAGTGATGCACAAAGCACCAAAGTAATTCTCCTAAAAAAGTCATTTGTGTTGTTGTTGGCCAATGCGTGAAAAACATAACTCAGAACTTGAATGCAAAATCTGCATGGGGAAGTGTTTCGCCCTTACGTGAAATTCCCAATCATGCCAATTCCTATTGAAATGACTGGAAATTTCCGCAGTGTAAGAAAAAAAATGATGTGGACTATGAAGATCTCAAAAATGAAGTTTATTACAGCATAGCAGTGCCAAAGTACATAAAGCACCTTGGGTTCACCGGCGTCAGAATGAACGCAGAATAATTTCTGCTTAAACATTTTATAATGTATTACATCTGTCTTCCATCTCAGCATTTAAACTAAGCTCTGTCTTAAATGTAAATTGAGGATAACAATGAAAGTGATAGCCTTCTGTTCCCACATCTTCGATATTCTTTCAAATAAGAAGAGTCAAATGTTAAGAAGATAAGAGTGTTTGAAATCCCTGTATTCAGGATGGTTCTTGATTGCTCGCTGCCACTCCCACGCTATAATAATAATAATACGTTTATTTTATATAGCACCTTTCAGAATACTCAAGGTCGCTTTACAATAAAGTACAAATAAACATGACATAGAACCATGACATAGAAACATGACATAAAACAAGACCATGGAGTGCTTTGAATGTGATAAGGAGTATCTTGTATTTAATACGAAAGCGTACCGGTAGCCAATGAAGTCTGCGTAAAATCGGAGTAATGTGGGAAGATTTCTTTGTGTATGTAAGGACCCTAGCTGCGGAGTTCTGAATATATTGGATTTTATTTAAAGATGAGTTGGGTAAGCCATAGAAAAGAGAATTGCAGTAGTCAAGCCGTGATGTGATGAAAGCGTGAACCAAGGTTTCAGCATCGCTGATATTCAGAAATGGACGCAAGCGCGCGATATTACGAAGGTGAAAGAAGGCAGGCTTAGTGAGCGAGGAGATGTGTGGAAGGAAGGAAAGAGAGGAATCAAAGATTATACCAAGGTTTTTGACAGTGGTGGAACCAAAACTCCAGCAATATTAACATTGTCAACACAGAAACGGGATGTAATTTGAGGTGAACCAATAAGAAGTAGATCTTTTTTATCAGTGTTGAGTTTGAGAAAATTACTGGTCATCCAAGCATTTATATCATCAATACAGGCTGATATGGAATTTGTGGGGAAAGGAGCATTGCGTTGTGAATGGATATATAGTTGGGTGTCATCTGCGTAGCAATGGAATTTAAAGCCATGATGACGGATGATGTTACCTAATGGAAGTATGTAGATGATGAAGAGAAGAGAACCAAGAACGGAACCCTGGGGAACACCGTGTGGGACAGAGGCAGTAGTGGACTTAGCCTGGCGGATAGAAATGTAATGCTGGCGACCAGACAGGTAGGAGGTGAAGCAGGATAGGGCAGTACCAGAAATACCAAGAGCAGAGAGTCGTGAGATAAGAATACTGTGAGAGATTGTGTCGAATGCAGAGGAAATATCTAGAAGAATTAGAATACTGGTGGAGCCGCAGTCAGTGGCCATAAGGAGATCATTGACAACCCTAAGAAGTGCTGTCTCAGTGCTGTGGAGGGTGTGGAAAGCGGATTGAAAACATTCATAGTGGTTGTTAGATGACAAATGTGTTTGAAATTGAGCAGCGACCACTTTCTCAAGCAGTTTCGAAAAAAATGGTAGATTTGAGATTAGTCTGTAGTTGGCCATGTCAGAGGGGTCGAGGCCGAAAGTGATAACATATCACTCCGGTGATACCATTTACATATTACTGAGATCGGAAGGAATTGTCTCTATGATAAATAATCTCTTTTTAGGGAGGGAGAATATTTAAATGTATATATTGGAGTGGAAGTTGGATCGGAGCAGAATATAATTCCTTACAGCAGAGTAAATCTCACAGAGCAATGATAAATGTGACAGCACCTTAAAACTGTTTGGCAGGACAGTTTTAACCAAAAAACAAAACAAACACCAACCTCTTTTCTCTCAGCCTCAGACATCCCAAATTGGTAATGACCCAGCAGGAAGGGCCAGACCTCCTTGCGCAAAGAGGGCTCAACTCCACCAAAATAAACTAGCCGCAATAACTCCTTTTCTTCATAGGCCTGCAAGAGAGCAGGCACACATGAAAGCAGGTAAACTGACTTCCAAGGAAAAAAAAAATTATTTGAATGTGTTATTTACATTTTTTCCATTATGTTAACCAGTCAAATCAACATCCAATATACATTGGTTTGCCTGTTTAGAGCATAAAATCGTCTGCCAGTATAAGCACACTAACGATCACAGCCACAAGGGTACTTCTGTATGGATTTAACATTGATTTTTACCCTTTAGTGCAACCACTCTGGCACTCGGGCTCTCAGCATTAGTCATCCAAACATATTGTTTGTGTGATAAGAATGAGAGAACTGCGATTAGGGACAAATTAATATTAATGAGTGTCTGGCAAAGACGCTCATTTGAATGTGGCTGCTTTGGACTCCAGGCAGGGTTGTGTATGTGCAATTACGCTGCAGTCTTGAAGAAACTTCTGCCACACTTCTGTCGTGAGGCCGCCATACGCATCACCAGGCACATCTGGTTCCACAATAGTGTGATTAACAAGGCCAGACAGGTGAGTGCGTACTGTGGACAGGTGACGGCAGTACGCCAACCCTGAGAGAGCAAAATATGTGTGTGGTTGAATAAATAAGAGAGACATTTGAGTATGTAAAGGTCACATTTGATGAAAAAAGATGGTGTTGCGAGACTATAAAATGGATGAGTAATGAATACGAACATCCGTAGAAAGCCCGGGAGATGATTTGGTTCTTCATATTGTCACATAGCAACTTCAGAGGGGCCCTGCGGATGAGATTATGGTATTTCCTTAAATATATATTTAACATTATATCATTAACATTTATTGTTATTTGATTTAATTTAAAGTTATACATTTATACTTTAGTACAGAATATTTATAGGTTTTACAAATAAACAAGGTATGCAAAGAGTGGTAACTTGGGTAAAAAAACAACAACCTATTGGTGCTTTTTGGGTAAGGGATGTTCAATTGAATGCTGAAATAGCAGTCCAATGTACTCAAAGTACAGTAGGATTTAAATTTGGTGATGGATGTAGCTTTAAATCTCTAGGAGTTAGAGTCAGAAATTTGTCTCAGAAGAAGAAGAAGTTTCTCAAGCCAACATAATAATAATAATTACATTTGTACTCAAATTGAGTGTATTCATTAATTCATAGGATTAAAATTAAATTAATTTAAAGTAAAAAAATAATTCTACTTTGAGTGCCTTTGACCACTAACCTTGTTTAAATGTAGGTTTACTTTTCAATTTCTGATTAAATAAATCACTTCTATTTTTCTATTTACTTCTATAACTTGGACAATATTATATTCTGTCATTGTACCTTTCATGGTTGCATCCATTGGGAGGTGCTCCATCAGAGAAACTACTCTGTGAGCAGGAAGAGCAAGATGATTTCCTTGGTGTTGGGTGCCACATGTTTGCTCCCTGATCGATCAATTCCGGAGCCACTACCACACAAACACACACAGAGAAATCTGATTATGCATTGAACATCTGGTTACAAAAAGGAGCTTATGCAAGCAGATCAACAAGAACCCACAATTACACCCAACCTTAAAAAAGAAGAAGAAATAATACCAGTCTGCATGGATTTAACAAAGTAATTATGGCTGCTGTGACACTCAAAATTAACAGGATCATATTGCGGGTCAGATTTAAAAGCCACTATTACGATTACAAACACTTATGATCATTATATAGTATACATACATTTCAAGGCTCCCTGAAAACACAACCATTAGCCCACAATTAACCAAGGGTCAAGAAATTTCACAGGAGAATGACTCCTGAACAAAACAGAAGACTCACACTGGCGACTACGTGATTGCTTGCAAACACAGAGGCCATAAAAGCAATAAATCAGAAAGTTGGCGCATCAGACAGATACATGAACACAAATGAAACGTGACAGGGAGAATTACAGCCGGGCTCAGGGGAGCATGGGGACTCTCCCGGGCAGCTGCAGTGGCACATTGGCATCACCAGAGTCTGGCGTTTAGGAGGCCATAGCCCCCTCGAGTTCAGGGACAGAGATCGGGCCAGGAAGACAGTACCCAGGGAGAGATGGGAGGTGTGGGTAACAGTCACTGTAATGAGTCAAAACAGCTCAGTAAAACCAAAAGAATGTTTATGATGGATGGTACACATAAATAGACCAAAAAAAAAACAAAAAAAAAACAGTGACTAGAAAATACCTTGATGGATACGAGAGGGACTTTTTTCTATTATCCCTTTCTAAAAGCTGACATCTATAATAGCTGTACCATGATGGGGAAACATTTATTGGCTCAAGAGCTTGTCTGATACTATTATTCAGTCTCTTACCAAATTCTGATTGTCTGTTTGGGAAAATAATGCGGAAGACATAATCTGTTGCTTCTTCCTCTTCTTTGTCTGAGACAGAGCCTGAGGATCCCAGTGGACATCTATTTTTTAGCTTAGGAAATACTTTACCCTGAAAAAGAAAATTGAAGCATCAGTTCAGGATACAATGACCGCGGCAGACAAGCAAAGCAAAGCCTAGAACCTATTTAGGGGCAAGAATTGGCCAATTATTTACCCATTCATAATTTATTCATAGCACACAAAATAAATTGTAATTGACAGATTAATCAATCAAGACATACAAATTACAGCACAGCGAGAGATTGCAATTGATCTAAATAATAAGCGTCTTGAATCTGTAGCTCAAACAGTGAAGAGTTTCTTATGCTCACCAAGGCTAAATTTATTTGATTAAAAAAAAACCCGGTAAAATAAGTAATATTGCAAAATATTATTACAATTTAAATAAATTGTTTTCTATTTTAATATATTTAAAAATTTAATTTATTCCTGTGATGGCGGCAAACCTCAATTATTCCAATGTTCAGTGTCACATGATCCTTCACAATCATTCTAATATGCTGATTTAGTGCTCAAGAAGCATTTCTTATAATTATCGATGTTGAAAACAGTTGTGCTGCTTTAAATTTGTACAAACTAAAAAACTAATTTTTCTTCATAATGTATAAAGATTGTAAAAACACTGTGATCTAAGGGTAATATCAAACAGAGTTCTCTTAGACTAAAACAAGTGAAACGTTTTGTGTATTACAGTCTGGCCTTTGTATATATTTGAGGAAGGTCTACCAGGGGTTTCCAATCCTGTTCTTGGAGGGCCAAATATCCATGAGAGTTTAGCTCTAGTTAAACAAGTTAAACACCTGAATCAGCTAATCACTAGAAACTTCCAGGAAGGTGTGTTGGAGTTAAACTCTGTATGAGTGTAGCCCTCCATGAGTAGGATTGGACACCCCTGGTCTATACTAACATTACATATTGTACAGATCAATTTCTTACCTTTCCTCTCTGGGACCAAAGTGGTGGGTCTAACTGGCCGTGAGGCAGGAGACCATTTTCCAGACAGGAAAGGAACTGAAGGAGGTGACCACCACGGGGAAAACGAATCGGAGGCCTTTGAATCCCATCCTGACTAACCAGAACCACTGTTCCACCACAGTCTACTGCAGACAAAAATACATACACAATGGAATTATTATTATTAAATAATGTGATCAATATTTGTTCATTGACTATTAAATGAGTTTCTTGCCATCACATATTACTAGGTTAAATACTTAATGTTTTGTACATATAGTCGGGGAGCCAAAGTCTCAAAAATGGGTTGAACCTGACATGGTCTGTCATACTTTTTATTTGTGTTTTTTTCTGTTAACTTTGACCCTAAGAACCAATAATTGGAGGGTCTGCTCTACCGGATATATCGCGAAAAAAGATTGTGGCCATTTTAGTGTATGCACCCTTTATTTTTTATCAGAAAAATGTGAAAAATGATTTTTTCCATTAAATCCTTAGTGGGTTGGGTAGGCTGTCAATAAATGCATTCCAGATACACAGAACACATGTGCTGACAACATCCACTGAAAAAATAACTCTTAAAACACATTTCTACATGATTCTGCATCAATTTAATGCAAAAAATTAAGCGTTTTCTCACTTTTTTCCAATATTTTCATTTTTACTTCATTGGCAATCAACTATTCCCCTAAGTTATGACATCAGTCATTATGCCATTCTTTTCACCAAACACTATACTCATTCCACAGAAAAAATGATAAAAATCCAACCAAAATCAATGGATCTGTGATGATTTCACTACTAGTTGGCGATCAACAGCCTCAGAACTTCAATAGAATTATTTAGACTACTCAAAATTCCTAAAAACATGCTGGATATTTAGCATCATGGCACACTTACACACACACACACACACACACACACACACACACACATGATCTTAGTAATTTTAATGAGTTTGGAACAACCAACCAACGGTTACCAACGGACTTCGAAGCTGCTCATCATTGTCTGTGGTAAGTGACAGTGACTTTAGTGAATACCGGTAGGTCTGCCCCAGCGTTTTGGGAAAAGAATGGTAATATGGATATTGTAATGGTAATTAACTGAAAGGACCACGCCAGTCTTCAAACAAGTATATTTCTGATGATTCTCATCAAGTGTATTTCCAATGATTCCTCGCTCCAAACATGTCCCTGTAGCAGCATTTATTCACAATTTCTCAACTTCCGGTCGAAGCAAAATGGACATAAAGGACACATACCTCTCTTAGAGCATAAGATTCTGAGCATTTTTTAAAAAAAAAGAAAAAAGTAAGTCTCTACTCCATACCTGTGAGGAGTTATGGCCGTTTAAAGAAACCACCGAAATGAGCTAAAACGGCTAAAGCTAGCTAAGTAAACTAGTAGAAAATGAATGCTGCTGCTACAGGGATATGTTTGGAGCGAGAATCATCAGAAATATACTTGTTTGAAGACTGGCGTGGTCCTTTCAGTTAATTACCATTACAATATCCATAAAATTACTAAGATCATGTGTGTGTGTGTGTGTGTGTAAGTGTGCCATGATGCTAAATATCCAGCATGTTTTTAGGAATTTTGAGTAGTCTAAAATTCTATTGAAGTTCTGAGGCTGTTGATCGCCAACTAGTAGTGAAATCATCACAGATCCATTGATTTTGGTTGGATTTTTATCATTTTTTCTGTGGAATGAGTATAGTGTTTGGTGAAAAGAATGGCATATTGACTGATGTCATAACTTAGGGGAATAGTTGATTGCCAATGAAGTACAGATGAAAATATTGGAAAAAAGTGAGAAAACGCCTAATTTTTTGCATTAAATTGATGCAAAATCATGTAGAAATGTGTTTTAAGAGTTATTTTTTCAGTGGATGTTGTCAGCACATGTGTTCTGTGTATCTGGAATGCATTTATTGACAGCCTACCCAACCCACTAAGGATTTGATGGAAAAAATCATTGATCACATTTTTCTGATAAAAAATAAAGGGTGCATACACTAAAATGGCCACAATTTTTTTTTTGCGATATTTCCGGCAGAGCAGACCCTCCAATTATTGGTTCTTAGGGTCAAAGTTAACAGAAAAAACACAAATAAAAAGTATGACAGACCATGTCAGGTTCAACCCATTTTATTGAGCTTTTGAGACTTTGGCTCCCTGACTAATATGTACAGTTAAAAGAGGAAATGTTTTGAGTAGTACAGAGGAGTTAGCTAAGATCTAAATCGTTTTGATATTCTTAATATTGAAGCCATGACACAGCCTGTACAATAAGGAATTATTCATTGCCATTATTAGCAGAATTACATTGCTTTATAATCGTACAGCCTCACTTTAAATTCTCATCTCTCTCTAGAAGCAATTATGTTCTGATTGATTCTACTCTCTCTATTCGGTTCACTGATCTTGTGCATGGATGAATATGAAAAGGGCAGGTACAATTGAGGATATTGGCTGAAAATTTGAGTATACCCAAGTGGATTTACTTCATCAAAAGAGACTAGATACTGATTAATGTTAATGTTAGAATATGCTTTTAACCTTTAGCAACTCTGTAGAATTTACTACTTACATTAAGGTCATATTATATGACTTATTTATACTGATCTGTCAAAATTATGGACAAATAAGAAATATCAGGATGTGTCATTTGGGTTCCAGTTGACTGTTTCTCAAACTGGCACAATGTCACCTACCCTGCTGATGACAGTGCAAGTACACAATCTCCTCCAGGCGAATTGTCATGGCGTAGTCCCAGTAAACACTGCAGGAAAAAAGGGGTTAGATTAAGTGGCTTGTGACCAACATAACTGAATAATATAAACCAAACAAAGAATAGAAATGCTGCAGTTTAAATAAACATTTTGAAACATTCACAAGACCTTAAAGCTTCTCTTTTGTTGCCACCAGATTTATAAACAATTCTCATTTGAAATTTAGGAAGATTCAAAACAGCGATTCAAAATGGGGAAATGAACAATCCTGTAATATTACATCTTATCATATCCTGTGATAACTCCAATTCAAAGAGATAATTCAAAATACTACATGTATAATTCAAAATTCAACCATATTGTCATTGGTTTAGACATCTTTTTAATAAAATATGAACCAACCTTCTTTCCCTTTTAAAAAAGGTTTATTCTGTTTATCTTATAAACTGAACAGAGTCCCACCTCTTCTCATAGTCGAGATCCCCCATGGAGCCGTTCATTAGCTGGTTTGGCGTCCATTTCAGAGTCATGCAGTAAGCCGTCTGGTGCAGAGAGAGGTATCCTGGGATTGCTTCCATATCATCCCTCTGAAATTACCACAACAGAAGCCCATGTTACAAAGCAAACCTTTAATCAATAATAAATTCTGCTCGTACTGGTTTTGGCGAATAGTTTTTTTTTTTTTTTGCACTTTTTATTTATTATCTATTTAAATCACAATAAAAAAAGTAATTTAATGTTTATATAAAATATGCAATATGCAGAAAGAACCCCCAAAAGATCTGGGATAATCCATACTGTAGCTGTGTCATGTATTTACCGGCTGCACCAGTACGTTGTTCTTGCCGAACAGGAGGGTCGCTCTGGAATTCTGATGAAGAGACTCTACGTAGTCTCTGGCAGAGGGGGAGGGAGATGGCCTCTCATCCATACTACTACTGGAGTGCCTTTTCTGAATCTGAACACACACACACGCAAAATATTACATCAGCAACCTAGCAAACAAAGCGTTATAGTAACTATTCATCTTGTTTTCCTAATATTATGCCTCTACATCTATCCGTTCAAGGTGTAAAAATGTTTGCCCGTAGGCAAGTCATTAGATGAATACTTACGTCTCCCCTATCATATATCAAAAAGCCACTCCGCAGCAAAAACCAGGCTTTTACATTAGAAAACAAGCCTGAAGTGTAAATGTACTCAGATCTATCGGAGACGAAAAACAAGCACTGTGTGCCCTGCTGTTGTGTGGGTGTTGGCTATGGCCAGAGAGGGTGATCAGTCAGGAATCTGACGGATGGGTTGGTAATGGAGCTGGGTAATGATGTGAAGCATGTCTCTTGAGTAGAGGTTTATATTCTCCTCAGAAACAGTCACACTCAAATACACCACAGCATGACTCTTATGGACCACAACCCTCTTCACAGGTCTTTGATGGAGGAACCGCACTGATTTCAAAGGCTAAAAAAAAAATAGTTGCACGAGCAAATCCACAAACTAAACTGGCTTGATCTGAAATGTTGAGATTTTGTTTATTTTGATTTTGCTTTATCATAAAAAAATTAGCTTAGACATAGAAAATACAATTAAAAAAAAGATCATTAATATTAAATTGATCTTACGAGTCCAGCATCCTAAAGCTCAATTGTTGTGCATTCAAAACTGCTAACCAACATACACAGTGTTGAAAGTACTGCAGCATAATACTGAAAAACAAGCCTTATTGGTTGTCACTATGTATTATGACTATAATGTGACATGCAATTGACTGACTATAAACTGCTCTTGACTCCTGACATTTTCTTGAGGCACGGTTTGAAACGTCAAGTGAATTTTAATTGGCCTGAACGGCACTTCCATCTTGTTCCATCTTCCATCTAGAAGCTCTCAAATTTCATCAAAAATATCTTAATTTGTGTTCCGGAAATGAACGAAGGTCTTACGGGTTTGGATCGACATGAGGGTGAGTTATTAATGACAGAAATGTCATTTTTGGGTAAACTAACCCTTTAACCTTTGCATAAGTGCAAACAGACAGAAAATATCAATATTTGCATAAGTTATAAGATTAGCTTAAACTCTTGACCCTTTTTAAGAACATACCATTTTAAATATTGCAGCATTTATGAATTCTTGGTGTACAGCACCATAACCCAGAACGCTAAGATCAATTAATTATCCTGCACATAATCATTTTAAAGGTGATGTGTGTAATTTCTGCACCAATAACAGCATCAAACAGAACTGCACATTTACTCAGTAGTCTCGTTAAAGTATTTTAACACACAAAAAAATTCCACACAACTCATTTAGTCACAGGTTACTCACGCAGAGGGCAGGTCTCTTTGTAGGCGAGTCTTGTCGACAGTGGCCACTGTGAATACGATGCCTTTGCACCAACTCATCAGCTGAAGGATCCGTCCAGAAATGATCTGCTGTCTTCATTTTTGTGTACTCTAATGCACAGGGGCCCACTAAAGAAGAAATAAAGTTGAAAACAGATTATCTGCACAATGCCAACAACAAAGGAAAGAAAAAGACAAAATATCTCTGTTCCAAAACCTAGTGAAGTGCCTCCCTTAATAGGAAGCTGATTTGAAAAGTTCCACATACTGTAGGCAGCAACTCTATGTGCTACTCAATGAGCACTCTGCAGGGGAAACTCAAAACTGACTTCAATAGAATTCAATGGTATACTGTTACTAAGCTAATGGCCTGATACTCATATAAGCATAAATTATGTAGCTCAAACAAATATTGGGTAAAATAATAAACTTAACTAGTGGATAAAACATTCAAATTAGATAACTATCAACTTTTTTATACTATACTTTACCGTATGAAATATTTCTCTCATCCACCAGCTTCTTGGATTTATGTTTTCCATTGAGCTTGTGAAAAAATTTAGCCGATTACCGATCTCACTAGGATTTAAAACAGAGTAAATGACATTATGTCACCAGATGACCTGTGGCCTTAAAGTGCCCCTATTATGCTTTTTCTGATAATACATTTATTGTGTAATATAGCTGTTTGTGAATGTTAAAGTTGTGCAGTTTCAAAGATCAATGTGCATGATAAATTGAGTTATTGTCTCCCAAAAGAAAGAACAGACTCTGAACTGCTGAAACGAGTCATCAGTAATTCCAGTCTTACTTTCTGCATGAACCTATGTAGGTTTGTATAAAATTTGTACAATGCCAGCATGTGGTCTTTTTTGGCTGTCTGCGAACAACGTCTACTTTGACCCGCCCTCAAGCACTGTAGTTGTAGCTGAGGCCTGGAAGAGTTTGGTTTGTGTTGTTTACATGTTGAGAACACACTGTTCCCTGCACAGGAAAGCAAATCCACTCTGCATCCAATGTGTCACAAATTGATATGTTAAAACCAATGCCATTGTTACGGTTTGTATCACTGTATGTACAAGTGTTGAGAAAGCCTCTGGAGCTGAAATTCAGATATGTTAATGGAAGATTAATTTCTGACAATCAGAGCAGAGTAGGCTCTTGGAGAGGAGGGGTTTAGAGAGACCGAATACTTTATCGAACCGTTTCTGACACTGTGAGAAAAGAGGTGATGCTGCAATGTATATTATGAGAAAATTAAAGTGTTTTTTCTCTTGGAAGCATGTAAACCTATAGTAGTAGACCTCCAAAAAAGGAACCTTTAAAATAGCATAATATGGGCACTTTAAGAATAAGAAAGATTTAAAAAGCAGGTCTACCTAACAAAGAGGCGAGGATAGGGCCATCCACCGGGTCCATTAGGATAGCCTCTTTCTCATAAAACTTACTGAAACAACATTAAAAGCAACTTTAATTTAACATAATGCAATGTGGCAAATTTGATTGTACCTGAAAGAAAACTGGTCAAGCTTGGTTTCTCTTAATATCTCTATCCCACCTCTCTCACCTGCTGTTTTCCACCAGGTACAGCACGATCTTGTCCAGCACTTTCTCAATGAGTGCGGTGTGGATCCACACGTGTCTGACGGCCTGAGGCGAGAAGTTTGGGACCTTGGGCATCTTACGGGTGCTCTCGCTGTATGAGAGGGACTGACTTCGTCTGAAGAAAAAAAAACAGTCAAAATCAAATTCTATGTAGATAGTTGTGCTTTGAAAGGAGCTTTTGTTAACAAGGTGGTAACTATAGCATACTCTTTTCAGGAATGATATTTACTGGTACTTTGCCTGTAGTGGACATATGTTAGTTATATCTATGCGATGCAGAAATCTAAAAACATGCGTAAGAAAGCAAATACATTGCAGGTTTTTAGGTTCCGTACACAATATATGTGTTGTATATATTTTGAGAGAGTCTCAGTTGTGTGTTGTATTGGAAGAGATCAAAGTCTGGTCTCACTTGCTCTCAAAGACCATCTCCAGCTCCTGGGCTTTTCTGCACAGCTCTTCAGCTGGAGGGAAGCTTTTGCCCACTTTGGTGAAGAGCGCAGCTATTTTGTTGCTTCGTAGGAAACCGGCAGCTCTCCGCTTCAACCCATGAAGCACACAGGCTTCAACAGCAGCTACACACAAACACACACAGAGAGAGAGAAAATGGACAATAGCACATTAATGCATCATTTTCCATGAAGAAGAAATAGTATGTTGCCCCAATCCATGAAAGGCTTTTTGCTTATCTGAGCAACAAGAAAATAATAATACTCGTGTACTCTTTCAAAATTATTTTTTTGAAAGAAAATAATCCTTTTATTCAGCAAGGACGCATTAAATTGATCAAAAGTGACAGTGAATACTTTTATAATATTACAAAAGATTACTATTTCAAACAAATCCTAAAAAAAAAAAAAGCACAGTTTCAACAAAGATATTAGGCAGTATTTTTTTCAACATTGATAAGAAGAAATGCTTCTTGAGCACCAAATCAGCATATTAGAATGATTTCTGAAGGATCATGTGACACTGAAGACTGGAGCAATGATGCAAAAAAAAAAAAATCAGCTTTGCCATCACAGAAATAAATTACATTTAAAAATATATGAAATTAGAAAAAAATATTTTAATTTGTAATAATATTTCAAAAGATGACTGCATTTCTATTAAATAAGTGCAGCTTTGGTGAGCATAGGAGACTATCAAAGAAAAAACCAACCCTCAACTTCTGAATGGTAGTGAAACATACTGTAGTACTGTAGTAAATGATAATGTACAGTCAGCTAGTAATTATCACAAAACAATCCCTGAGACCCAGATGCAAAATGGAGGGATTCTGTAGGAAACTAAACGGGTTTATTTTGCGATAAAGACTGGCTGACTATATTATAGCTCTTATACGTCTACTTCCAAATAAATAAATAAAAAGATATAAAATATCAAGTCATTATTTCATGTATGAAAAGCTATACCACAGAATGATTCTGACCAATCAAAACAGGAAAAACAGAAGGTTTTGTTATAGTTTGTGAAAACGTAAATATGTAATTGAAAATGTGAATATGTAATCAAACTAAAACACCCAGACAGAGAGGGACAATGAGATGAAATACAAATATGTGGACCGAGATGCACAGACGAGACACACAGCACTACGTGGCAGTGCCTGCAGAGCTGATATGGAGGCTCTCTCAGGACTAATCTTGTGGATCTGCTTGGATGGGGTCGGGGGAAAGCCTGTGTAGCCATGGAAACCCTCAGTGAGAACTGGGCATGGCTCAGAAACAACATCAGCTGTTTTATCTCTCTGCCTCTTTCCTCATCCTGTTCTTTTCTCTTTTCTTGTCTCCAATGTGTCACTTTTTGTTCTCGGTGACAGTCTCGATATTTGGTTTTACTCATCTGACTCCAGCACTTTATGACTCTCCCCTGTTTATAATCTCTACAATCTCCTTCTGCCTGCATCAGAGTGCCACTTGTTTATCTCGTCTTCTTGCCCAGTATTCGTCTCCTAGTATCTGTTGTGGCAGACTGAAATGCATGAGAGATAAACATGATAAAAACAGGTCTAAAGATCTCTTAATTCAGAAGGATGCACATCGATACAAACACAGTAGCTGCTTTCATCTGATGCTGTATTCATCGCTTCTCTTTGACCACCCTAAATGGATTCATGCCGAAGAGAGAAGACAAATAAAAATGAGCAGGTGAAATGAATGAGCAGTGGACGCACGGACCATCAAACAGGTTCAAAGGTCTCATATGCTGCTACAGACACACACTATCTAATGACAGGATCTTTAGTTGAATCACAATAGCTTTTAATTTCCCATCATGCCATTCAGAACTATGACAGTTTCTAGTAAAAGTAGTTCTTTAGATTCCTTAATTTACCAAAAAGGACAAAAAGCTCCATTAAAGCCACAATATAATAGGTTTGTGTATGGAAAAAACAAAAATGTAAAGTAAATCACTGAAAATCGTTCCCTCAAATCTCTTATGTCTTGTGACTAACTGCATCAAAAACTAATCATTCAAATGTTTAGGGTTGGTAAGATTTTCTTAAAGTTTTTGAGTCTTATGCTCACCAAAGCTGCATCTACTTGATATAAAAAAATATATGTAAAATATAACTATAATTTTAAATAACTGTTTTCTGTTTTAAAATGTAGTTTATTCCTGCGATAGAAAAGTTGAATTTTCAGCATCATTACTCCGGTTTTCAGTGTCACATGATCCTTCAGAAATCATTCTAATATGTGGATTTGGTGCTCAAGAAACATTTATCATCAAATGTTGAAAACAGTTGTGCCGCTTAATTTTGTCTGGAAACTGTGATACAATTCTTTACCGGATCAATTTCTTGATCAATTTAATGCATCCTTGCTGAATAAAAGTATGAATTTTCCAAATAATTATTTTATCTTACAGACCCCAATGCAAATACAAGTGTAAATGATAATTTTAAAATTAAGCAAATCCTTCAGGTGGATATCAATTTAAATGACATTCAATTTCACTCATAAAGTTGAACAAGCTACTTATAAAAACAAAAAGAGCAAGCTGAATTCCTTCCCATCAATGAAAGAAATGAGTGTGAGTGAACCATTCCTTTACGCTTGCTTTCATTTACTTTCTTCTTTGTTGGATTTTCATTTACCTTATACACAATGATTTGTGACTAAAGCTCACTCTAAATGCATGACAGCCTGGATGTAAAGTAGGCCTAAATTATTTTTATTACGACTGATTCTCAATTCAGTCATTTTACTGAGAGAGAGAGAGAGAGAGAGAGAGAGAGAGAGAGAGAGAGAGAGAGAGAGAGAGAGAGAGAGAGAGAGAGAGAGAGAGAGAGAGAGAGAGAGAGAGAGAGAGAGAGAGAGAGAGAGAGAGAGAGAGAGAGAGAGAGAGAGAGAGAGAGAGAAAATGAGAATTATTTCCAGTCAAATAAGTTTCCCAAGCAATATTCAAGCAACAATAAAGCAGCACAACTCATTCTATGTCATAGGAAATGGCAAAGGAAGCAGGCAGTCACCCCGACCCTGATCTCAAACGCTCATTAAAAATGTAATCATACCGCCTGTGCTAATGGTTTCTAATCACACTGTCACAGTGTGAACGGAGTGAAACCTGGATATATATATGATCCCCTCCACTCACACTGACCAGCAATTTACACTGCAACATAATGATATAAAAGCATCTGAGTGACAAAGAGCATGCTTTTAAAGCCACACGTAGATTAGAGATAAAATTAAGAGATGTCTTACAGAATCAATGTACACGTTTGATAATTGTATCCTATATCTGTGACGATAAGAAATGTCATTACGAATTTAACTTATGCGCAAAATTGAAATATTGCATAAAACATTTGTGAATAAAGCACCGTTTCCATCCAGTGAGCCAAAGAGAATATTTTTCTCACTTCCTGATAAACTGGTACCACATATCACTAAGAAAAATGACTGAAGTAGGAGAAGAATCATTTTATATATAATAAATTACTCTACGCAGACGAAACTCAAAGTTATCTAGCTTTCGGAGGCAGATGCCTGCTGTTTGGGAACACAGTCGTGTAAGAACAACCAAAACAGCATTTCATATGCTGTGCAATGAGATCGGCCCGCTGGTTAGTCCAGTTATGCCGCCCCATCACAAAGACACATGACTTTGATGCGTATTCGGTAAATGTGTTTCCATCTTAGTTTATGTGCATGTTTTCTCATCGGATAAAAAGTTTATCCGACTCAATTGAGCACATATGTTTTTTTATGCGCATTTTGCCGTTTCCATTCAGCGCCTTTATGCTATATCCCAAAATACGCATAGAAATAGGTGGATGGGAACATGTTGACATTTCCATCTGCTATGTGTGTAAACATCACTATAATCATGATGGCTAATTACTCCCCCCATGGGCAGCCAGCAAAATCTGGCTACCCTCCATCCTTCTATTATCTGCCAGTACCACACTAGAAGCAGCAGTATTACATCATTACAGTAATAACACACTTGTAATGGAATTCATCCATTGAGGCATAATGATTAGACATTCTTTCCTTTCTCTTCAAGTATTCCGGATTTTTTTTTTTCTGATTTGGTTCAAAAGTGCCCAGAGGAAAATTTGCTCAGAGGTTGCCCTTTCTTAGACCAGGGCATTTATTGGAGTTCATGAAGATTCTTTCATCATTTACTCATCCTCATGTTGTTGCTAAGCTTTTTTCTGCACAGAATACAATAAAAAAGAAAGAATATTTTTCAAGAATATTTTAACTGTTTTTGTCTATACAATGAAAGTCAATAGGACCCAAACAACATTGGACCATATTAACTTTCATGGTATGGACAAAATCCAAAGTGTGAAATGACAGATTTTTCCTTTTTTTTTATAAATATTCCTTTATCAATTCTGTCTCAGATTCCTTAGAAGAAATAAAAAGACACAAATTAGACAGTTGTTGATCCACCAACAGATTATTATTTATTTTTTTAGCTTGAGGAATTTTATGAGAAATGTTTGAGTTTATATTGAAATCTTGCATACGTTGGTACCTTGGCACAGTCTGACACGTTGTTGAGACCTCATCTGAAACTCTGGATGATACACATGTGAAACTACTGGAGTATTTTGGAGTCAGGAAAGAGCTATCAATTTAATCTCATTGCTGTTGTAATATTAAAACGATCTAATTTGGGATGTTTTTCCTATACTTGCCTCTTCAATGACCTCAGCAGAGGTTCAGTGATGTGGCAGGAGACAGTTGAGTGGACTTGAGATGGAGACAGAGCAGGGCAGAAAAAAAAAATCACGATGAATCAGAACTCAGTGAATTGCAGGAACAACCGGCTGAAACCAGCAATGCGCACGTGCCCTATAATCATCTACTGAATCCCACTGCCGCTACAGGCACGTAATAAAACGAGTTAACAAGGCCATTTATCAAAAGGCATTTTTCAAGCTACTTTGATTAGTGTTATTCAGAAACACCACATTGTGGTTAAAAAAAAGTGCCTCCACAAGCGTTTTCTGTGAGCTTTAACTGCAAGGTTTTGTTGCATTTCTACACCAACGAGACACTTTTGAGTGCAATAATTGCTTGGATGCAGAGAGAGAAAAACAGTCTAATTT